GCCACCGGCACGGCAGGAGCGTTGAGCAGGGTTGACATTACGCTACGAGCTCCGTGGAGCACAGGATTGGAGTTGTGCGGGCACTTAGCGTGTGGGGAGAGCTGATGCTGATCCCCAATGTAGACGTGGCGCGCGTGCTGGAAGCGAGCGACAATAGTGAACCGTGCCGGCTCCGGAATCTGCGACGCTTCGTCACCAAGGATGGTGCGGAAGGAGGACACGTATCAGCGGAAAATGCCCGTGCTGGTCGCGGTTGAGTTCGAGGCAGGGATAGCCGAGTGGTTAAGAGGTTAGACTCATGTCTGCACCTCTGAAAACCGCGAGTTCGATCCCTGCCGAGGCTCTAAACCATGCCTTGCAAAAATTGCAAAAATGGTTCTAGTACCAGCGTCAGGCCCAGGTTGACAGGCCGGCTGATGAAGACCCCAGTCACACCAACATGTCTAAAAGTCGCAAAGAATCAGTGATAAAGCTAGGACGTCACCCGGAAGTGGCGCGCAGAACCCCCGCCCGAGTTCTGTGGTCAGTATGCGAGGGCTACCGAGGAGTGAACGGCCTCGGCCAAAGAAGCTAGTTCGAATTGGGACTCTGAACGTAGGATCGCTAACTGGGAAGTCCCGAGAGGTTGCTGATCTGATGACGCGCAGGAATATCCAAGTCCTATGCCTTCAGGAGACGCGATGGAAAGGTGCTAAGGCCAGGGAAATCGGGGAAGGTGTCAAGCTCTACTACAATGGAGAAGACACCAAGCGGAACGGTGTGGCCATAGCGGTAGCGGAGTCGCTCAAGGACTATGTCTCCGCTGTGAACAGGATCAGCGATCGGATCATGGCTGTGAGGATAGACACGAAGGAGGGGTACTGGACAATACTCTCCGTGTACGCACCGCAAGCCGGATGCCCCGAAAGTGATAAGGACGAGTTCTATCTGAGCCTGGACGAAGCCATAAGATCGGTTCCGGAAGGCGATTACCTGACCATAGCAGGTGATCTGAATGGTCACGTCGGCAGTGACAGAAGAGGCCTGAAAGGGTGCACGGAGGTAGAGGGATAGGAACGAGGAACGCTGAGGGAGAGAGGGTTCTGGACCTGGCTACAGCCCACGATCTGGCAGTCTGCAGCACGTTCTTCGCGAAAAGGGAGACTCAAAAGGTAACCTACAGCAGTGGAGGGAGACAGACGGAAATCGACCATGTGCTGGTAAGAAGATCATCCCTCAAAACTGTGAAGGATATCAAAGGTACTCCCGGCGAAGAACTGGCTCCCCAGCACAGGCCCCTCCTGGCAGACATTGCCATAGACCTCCCCAAGAAGACAAGGGTAAGAACCGAGAGGAGAATCCGGTGGTGGAAGCTGCACCAAGCGGAGAAGGATGACCTCAGGCGAAAGATAATGGAAGTCGGTCTCCCAGATCCTAACGGGCCAGTACAGCGGACTTGGGGCAACGCGGCTGAGACCATCCTGCGATGTGCCAAGGAGGTACTGGGCGAGACGCGAGGTGGATTCAGAGGAGACAAGGCAGCGTGGTTCTGGAACGAGGAGGTCCAGCGAGTCGTGAAGCAGAAGAAGGAAGCATACAAGCGCTGGCAGAAGACCCGGAGCCCGAGGACCTCGCTGCCTACAAGAGTTGCAAGAGGCTCGCTAAGGCTGCCGTCGCCAAGGCAAAGAACACGGAGATGGACGCCTTGTACGAGAAGTTGGAAAGCAGAAACGCAGAGAAGTTCGTCTTCAGGCTGGCTAAAGCCCGGCATCGGCTACCCAAGACATCAGGGTGGTGAAGAGTGTGAAAGGCAGCGATGGTGTCATCCTAAGGAAGCCAGCCGAAGTCAAGAGGAGGTGGGAAGAGTACTACAGTGCACTTCTGAACGAGGAGTTCCCCCACAAGAACAACTCACGGGCAGAGGCCACAGCTGGTCCCATCGCACTCTGGACCAGGGTCAACCGTCCGTTCGAACTGTTCGAACGAAGGGGTCGCATTTTGGTCGGAAGGGGGTCGCAATTTCGAGGACTGCCAGCGCGTGGCGTATCCGAGGGCAAGACTTGCTTGTGCAGACCGCATTAGATTCGATTTATTATGCACAGAGAGACAGTTTTAGGCAAATTACAGTGTTTTCTCAATATGAAAGTATCCTTTTCTTATCCTATATATCCTTTTCCTTTTCTTTCATATCATAAATATCCTTTTCTTTCACCCCATGAAAAAGTGCATCTCAGAAATGAAAATGAAGTGAGTTATGCCCGCTTAAAGCCCAAAAACTCGCGATTTCAAAAAAAGTGTTCGGCAAAACCCCCCAAAATGTTCGAACGTGTGATTTTCTCGAAAAATGAACTTTGAAAAACGGTTTGGGCTTGTTAGAAAGAGCAAATCCTGTACTTTCACCCCATGAAAAAAGTGCATCACAGAAATGAAAATGAAGTGAGTTATGGTCGCTGAAAGCCCAAAAACTCGCTTTTGCACGAAAAATGTTCGAACGGGACAATTTTTTGAAAAAGGGGACAATCACTAAACTTTTTATACTGTTTTGTTAGAGAAATATTTGAAGTTTCTGAAACTTTTTACAGATTTCCAAAATGTCGCATACGAAAGATATTATGCGCCTTCTTAGAATTTTGGGTTTTCCACTTCTAGAAGTACTTTCCGGAGAGTTAGGCAATCCTTGTAGTTTTCTGAAAGCGCACCTCAGGCACAGTCAAAATCTACCTCAACAAGTCAAAAAAGTACGTCCCAAGAAAGTTATTCCCCTCTAAAATTTTTTCTTCCCGGGTTATACCTGCCGCGCTCCAAGGCTGACGCCGCAATGCAACGCAACGGATTCATGTCTAGCACTCTTATTAACAAAAACAAGTGGACCCCCTCGAGAGCTAGGGGGTCGCAAAAATCCCGAAAATGTTCGAACGTGACGGTTGACCCTGCTCTGGACTGAGGATGAGGTTAGGTGTGCACTTGGGAGGATGAAGGTTGGGAAGGCGGTTGGTCCAGATGGGGTGCCAATCGAGGCATGGAAGGCGCTCGGAGAGTACGGGATAAGATGGCTCACCGCTTCCTGAACAAGGTAACTGCGGAAGGAAGGATGCCGGATGCCTGGAGAACAAGTACTATCGTCCCCATCTTCAAGCAGAAGGGTGACGCGATGGACTGCTCCAACTACCGCGGGATCAAGTTGACTGCGCATACCATGAAG